GGGTTGTTGAGGAGGAGGATGAGGGCCCAGCCGTGAAGGCCGTGCAGGCCCATTATCTCCGCAGCCCCTCGCCCACCCGGTGAGTATGTTTGATGCAGCGGCCACCGTGGCCTCCTGGTAGCACGTGGTGGATCAGCTTGCCTTCCCTCCTCCGCCTCTGCCTCCTCTCTGCACTGGAATCGGATCAAGCGCGGATCCCAGGGCTTCCCTCCCCTCCCTGAGATGGGGGTTAGTGTGCCAGTGGGGAGAGACACTGCAGAGACAGGACTCCTGAGCTAATGAATCCATTCCACTGAGAGCGTATGTGCACATGGATTGGGGATAAATTAGAGAAATTACAGAAAGCATTCCTGTGGGGTGGTATTGTTGCTCTTCCCTGTCTCATCTTCTCATAGCCACCCCCATGCTGAGACTTCTCAACTGGATTTCACCTCTTCCCAAATTCAGCCCTGTCTTTCTGTTCATTATAAGGACTTGTGGATTTTTTTAATGTTGATATTAGCTTTTCCCAGCTCTAGAAAGACTGATAGTCTTCAGGTTTGGGTTTGGTTCAGAGCCATCTTTAGCTACAGGCTTCAGGCACTGAACAGGAGGATGTCACAGCACAAGTAGAAATTGAGTTATCTCAAGCAAAACAAGTATGATTAGATGTGCTTTCTCCTAATACAAGGAAAAATACATCCCTTTGTACTCTTTTCTTAAAGCAAAATGCTCTGCAGGGCTTTCTGTACAGTTGGAGATGCTTTAGCTGGAGGCAGGGAGTAAGGATTGAGTTTGAATAGAACCTGCCCCAGTGGCCCTCAACAAGTAGGAAGTTATGAAATGTTTCCCATTAACTGTGGTGCACTGCAGAAAAATGAAGACAGAGTGCTTATTTCATTTAACTACAGGTGTTTAAATATTGTTTGGGAAGTTCACTGAGCTCACATAAAGTACAATTATGTATTGAACTTGGTAAGTCACTGTCCTGCTGCTCATCAGTCACTCAAAATGAACAGAAGCGTCTCGCTAGTTTTCTCCTTCCCTTTCCACTGCCTTTTTTTTTCCCCCTTCCTTTTTTTCTTGCTGTCAACACCAAAAGCAATGATGAAAACCACAAGGTCCTTTCCAACCAGAACCAAGGCCCTTGAAGCACCCAGGGTTGGGTAGTTCTCCACCTGTGTGCTTCATGAATGCTTGGGGCAGCTACAGGTAAAATGGGGCTGCGGTGGCAGATCAATACCAACTGTTGTCTTTTTATTGAGCTTGGAGGCAACCTTTACAGCACAAGGAACTGAAGGCAAGGCAGAGCTGCAAATCTGTGTCAGCTCCTGCAAACGAGACTGAGACTCCCCTTGCTCATCTCATAAACTCCTTTGAGGAGCTAGGAAAGGATTACTTTCAGTCATGGTTGACAAGCGCTGGAACCCAACGAAATGACCTAGACAAGCCCATTAAGAGGTTTCCAATGGCTCTGCCCTTCATTTTCATTCTGGAGAATGAAAGCAGTTCAGCTCTCCAGACACTTTGCTGCACCTTGACTGCACACAAGTCACCCTCTCTCTTGTGCTTTAATTAAATCAAACCAAACAATGTGTTGCAAGTACTGCAAGTCTGCATTGTCAGATAGCTTCTGTGATGGCAGCAGACTTGTCCCAATGATGTCTAATCATCTGTACTACCTGTTTGGAAGGAAATAGAGAGGGTGTGCATCAGGGAAAAAGCTCTGTACAATATTTTGGTAAGATGGTCTAAGTAAGAAGAGATTTGCTTGGACTGTACGAGTGGACCCAGATGGAAATATATTTGTTTTCAAGACTGTGGCCCTTTTTTGCTTAACAAAAACTTAGGTAAATCATTCTGTGTGTCAAAGAACTCGATTCAAAAGTGTTTGTGGGCTTCATGGTTGTTTCTGACCTGTAGTTAAGACAACACTATGTGAGTGGAGAGACTGACCACAGATTCAAAGTGACCAGTGTACTGAGTATTGAGGGAGAGGTTTCAGTCTTAATGCTTGCATTGCAGCTTGTGGTAACTCCAAGGATGCTTGTAGGCAATTAGCTAACAGGAAAAAAAAACATCAGTTTTCGAGCATAATCTGTTTTGAATTGTTCAGTAAATTCTAGTTAGGACAACATTTATGTCTGTCTAAGTGAGAGCTACTTGAAAGACTGTTCTTGTGGTCCATCCCCCTCCCAGTCTCAAACCAGATACTGATCTTCTTGACCCAAAAATTCCTCCACCAATCCATTCTCTTGCGCTGCCAGCCCACAGCAGCTCCTCCACATGGGACCTGTCTACATCCTGTAAACACTGGATGCCAAAGCATATTTGAAGCTTGTAGTGCTACAAAGCAAGGTGGGGCTGAAGGGTGGGAGAGGAGCTGGGGCTTCCTTTCTACCATTAAAAAAATCCTGACTGCTCCAGTTCCCCACTGCTCCCTTCTGGAATGGGTGGAAAGGGCTGAAGTCCTGGAGATGGGATCGCTGTGGAGGGCATCGGTCTAATAGGCAGTGTGGTTGGTTGGCAGGTACTCAGTGATATCGGACACTGATACTGAGAGCATCCTCATGGAGCCAATTCATCTGTCATCTGCTGTGGCTGCCAAACAAATAATCAATGAAGGTAAGAGGAGGGAGGGTAAAAGGACTATGGAAGTAATAGAGACTTGAGTTGTGCTTTTGCCTTTCTCATCCAGAGATTCTAAAATGATAAAAAAGCCTTTATGAGAAAACCCCACCTGAGGCAGAGGTGGAAAACACAAAGAAAAAACAGTTTATGGAAAAGTTTGGTGGCTTGTTTTGAAGTTGTGCACTGAATCTGTGGCAGAATCAGGTACCACTGTGAATACAGTTTAATTTCTGGTTGCTCACTGCAACAAACTGAATAGAATAGAATGAATAGAATATAATAATTCAGTTGGAAGGAACCTACAACAATCATCTAGTCCAACCACCTGACCAAAAGCTAAAGCATGTTATTAAAGGCATTGTTCACTGACAGGCTTGGGGCATTGGCCACCTCTCTAGGAAGCCTCTTCCAGTGTTTGACCCTCCTCTCTGTAAAGAGATGCTTCCTCATGTCCAGTCTAAACCGCCCCTGGCACAGCTTTGAACCATTCCCATGTGCCCTGTCACTGGATCCCAGGGAGAAATGATCAGCACCTCCCTCTCCACTTCCCCTCCTTGGGAAGCTGTGGAGAGCACCTATATTCTTCTGGGGCTAGAATGAGCATGCCCTTAACTCCCAGGCCTTTGGCCAGTGTGGGTCTCTGGACTGAGAGGACAATGCAGTATGTTCTTCCCGTTACTAACCACCTTGAGGCTACTAGATAAGCATGTACATGCACACATTTCAGACGGAACAATATGATGTTACTGGCAAAAAAAGCAAGCCACAAGGCTTGTCCCAGGAACAAAGAGTGGCAGGTCATATATTTGTGGTGTTTTTACATGTTTTTAGTTACAATATCAGTTTATTCCAGAGCTGAAGACAAAGGATGTCAAGGTAGACTCAGTGTGTCCCGGGATGTTAGAGTCTGCACGGCACCTCATGGTGGAAGACCTGTACAACCGAGTTAAGGATAAGATTGATGACACCAGCTTGTTTAACACGCCGTGTGTGATGGACTTGCAGAGGGCACTTGTGAAGGATAGGCTGGAGACCCCCAGGGATGCTGTGGATGAAGTCTGGCCTAATGTCTTCATAGCAGAAAAGTGAGTGTCAGCTTTTGTCATCAAGTTGCATGAGATTCCCAGTGAAGGGTCAGATGGAACCATTGAAGGCATGACATGTATTACATGCCTACATCTAATACCTTTCATCCCTAGAGAGTCCCGAAGTGTTTCTCAAAATATGCTCACAAAGATCTCTGTGCACTGAAAAGTAAATACTTCAGGAATAGAATCAGCAGCTTTCCTGTGCTGGTTTGATGCTTTGATTATTTAGGAGAGAAAAAGGCAAATGAGCCCAAATTACACTGTTCTGATTGGAATTTGGTCCTGAAATTGGGACTGAAGTCTTTGTTATGTGAAAGAGAGTTAAAAAAGAAATGCTGTAGTAAACATTGAGTGGAAATCATTAGGTACCACGGCTGAGCTGTATGAGATGCTTGTGGAAGTGACCAGACAGAATTAGAAGGGGATATAGTATAAAACATCAATTACAGAGTGATAAAAAATGCGAAATAAGTAAACAGCCTGAACCTGGGATAACAGGTTGAGTTTAAAACCAAGCTGGAGTGGAAACTGAGCGTGCAGCTCTACTGGTGAGTGCAGGTTTCTCATTTCCTTTTCCCAGTGAGTATTGGAAAGAAATACCTGTAGAACTCTCAAAGGACGTTAAGGTCTGAGTGGAGCTGTGTGTTGGATGAGTAACACAGACTGGGAGCTCTGCAGACCTTGTAGCAGACAACTTCTTTCCTCCCTGAAATGGGAGCACTGATATCTAACATCTTTTTTTTCTTTCTGAAGAAGTGTTGCAGTGAACAAAAGCCGTTTGAAGAGACTGGGGATCACACATGTCTTGAATGCAGCTCACGGTACAGGTGTATACACAGGCCCAGGTTTCTACAACGGTCTGAATATCCAGTACCTGGGCATTGAAGTGGATGATTTTCCAGATATGGATATCTCCAAACACTTCCGCCCAGCTGCAGAGTTCCTGGACGAAGCACTGCTGACTTACAGGGGTAAGAGAAGATGACAGTGGTTCCAGAGTGCTTGGGGATTAATGGGTGGAAGGTTACTCTGATAAACAGCCGATGTCACATTTGTAATTGGGTAGAAGGCAGATACTTTGTTCTTTGCATCCAGTTGCAGTGAACACTTCTTGCCTGTTTCTGCCATGTCTCATTCAAAACAGGAGGGGGGAGAACAGTGAGAGGAGGCAGCCCAGCAGCCCCTGCTGCAAGCACTGTGTCTTCAGACTCACTGGCTGCAAGCCACCTCCCTCAGCTGCTTTGAAAGTACCTTACTATTGCAAAGAGGTGAAGCCCTGCTCCAATAAATATATATTTATATTGGTATAATATAATACTATATTGATATAAAATAATACTATATATATTGATATAGAATAATACTATATATA